ATCTTTAATATACTGTAGATAAGCTAAACATTTGTTTTTAAAATTAGTTGTGAATGGCTCAATGTCATCTGACCATGAATTTATCTGATAGTGAGGCTTAGAACGCTAGACACTAAAGTAACAAGGAAGGAGAAAGGACAAGAGAAGCAGTAGATCAGAGAAAGAGTGGAGAAGTGAAGAGGTGGAATAGAAGTAATATGAACACCCTGGATGAGTATTTGTGAATCAATTAAAGTCACATGACTAACAGATAGACGTGAGAGTGAGGCTTGGAACTCTAGACATGGAAGTAACATGGAAAGAGACAAAAGAAGCAGGAGATTAAAGGAAGAGTGGAGAAGCGGGAGAGGTTGACTAAAGGTGATATGAATACCCAATTATCTGCAGATGAATCAACCTCAAGTGATTACAGATGAACCTGAGAGAAAGGCATGAAACTCTAGACATGGAAGTTACAAGGAAATAGAAGGGACAAGAGAAGCAGGAGAGGAGGAGGAAGAATGGGGACGCTGGGGAGGTGAACAAGTGGTGATATGAACACCTTGGACAAGGTATAGTAAAGACTGTTATACGAAGCAGGGACATTAAAGCGCGTACACATGGTTGTGATTGTTGTCCCACTGGTGGAATGGTGGGGTGAAAGGTTATATTGGTTTCATCTCACATGGTATAACGGACTGATTACCTAGGAAGATTCTGGCCTTGGTAACCCATAGAATCTTTACTGATTGCAAAGTACAACAGGAGCAACAAGTTACAACAGCAACCCAGTCTATACAAAACCAATTGCTGCTTCTGAGAAATTCTAAACCCAACGACTTTGAAATATGATGTCTTTCAAAAGGTTGGTCTCCACAAATAAATGCTTCAAACTGGGAAATATCTTAAAAATATAGACAGACAAAATCTATAGTTTTATTTTATGACTACGTATAAAATACCCTTGCTGAATAAAACCCTTCAAAGACTCTACTTAAAAAAAGGAAACTAAAAATGTATGATTATATGCATATGTAAGGTACACAACAACAAAAAACAAGCCACTTCTTGTAAGAGAGCATTTCCATTTACAAGGTGTAAAAACCGAAGCCCAAAGCACACATACAGCATATTAGGTGTAAAATCTGTGCAAGCACAGACAAGATATACTACTACAATGTATACTAGTTCATTTTCTAAAAATGGTATTTAGTAATAACATAATTTGAAATTCCTTACACTCCTTATGTCACCATAGGAGCAGAGCTAAAATTCTAGGAACTGCAACAGTGAAGATACACTATGCTTAGCTCATATGAACATGTAAATGGTAGGCTGCATTATGCGTCTACCAGCATATATTGTAGTCACAATAATGCCGTTATCGCTGCAAAGAGCTTGAGTGCCAGTCATAAGTACAAATGCATCAACTGGTCCAAGCAATTCAAGATACAGTTCAGATCAAGCTAATTTGTGGGTGGTAGATATCAGTGAAAATCACCTTATTTGCTTAAAGTGACATTAAAGTCAAAAAAAAATTTCCCCCCCGATGTTAATGTCAGCACTTACCTTAAATTATGTCTCTTATTCCGATCTTCTTCTTCTTTCCTGATGTTTTCATCTGTCCCTCCAGCGGTGCGGCGGCTCTCCGATCCAGCGCTGACTGCTCTGTCTCTCCGATCCAGCGGTGTCTGCATGCGGGTGCACGCGTCCGTACACTTACCTTGCGTTTCTGCTTGTCTCCCGGCCGAAAATCCGAACTGCGCATGTGCCCGCAGCCGAACAGTTTCGTTTTCTCGGGCGGCAGCGCGCAAAGAAAAAAGGTAAGTTTACGCCGCTGTTTTAGCTTTTTTTTTAAAACTGTTTGCCTATATCTACTGCTTGATAGCAGTAGATATAGGCAAAAAAACGGGAGGGTTTAGAACCCCACTATTTTTGTAGTGCACTCTTTGCACTAATGTTCCATGGAGTGTTGCAGGTGAAAGCTATACTGTAAGGGGTCGAGAAGGTTATTATCATTGAGATAGCAGTTCAGACAGTTTTAGAGTAAGTGTTTTAAGAGTCTGAAGGTAATCTGTTTGTTCAGATTAGTGCATTCCAGTTTGGCCTTTTTAAGTATAGTGGTGACCAGTGCAGAAAATAACAAGGAGTCTGTCATGTACCAAATGTGGTGGTTGCAAAGCTTTGAAGCTTCCAGATTCATTATAATTGCATATCATAAAGATGTTTTTATGTTCAAGACAGAGTGTGGGATTCTGTGAGATTTCCATGGTCCAGTTCCCAGAGTGACATATTAATTTACTGGCATGTAGTAAACCTATGAAAATATTTTGCAATATTTTTTATTCAAGGGGAAACTTAGTAAATGACAGCCCCTTTTAGACATGTTAAAATAATAATGATTTCATTGAATATGGTTTCTGATCTCCGTTTTTTACATTTTATTTGTATCATGGTCAATGGACTCCCATACTTGTTCATCAGGGAGGGGATAGCAACTTACCTGCCTAGCCATAAGTAGGCAAGCTAAACCTACCTATCCATATAGAGATTTAAACCTATTCAAGAATTGCAGAAAAGCCTGCAGCACGATGATGGGGTAGACATTGTTTGCCCCTCCCAGCAGCAATGGCACAATGCAGAAAAGCATATTGGCTAGCTTCAGCAAAGCACAGGGTATGCTTATTTCCAACATTCATGTCATGAAGATACCAGTTATATGCTTAGTGTATCAGGCTGGTATCTTTCCTTAGAACAACTATAGTGTTATGCCCAGTCTTCACCAGTGGTCCTACATTACTTAGTTTCAGTTCAAAATACGCAATAGGACATATCAAACTGATCATTTTAGAACAAAAATGATTTAATTGTTACACTTTTCAAATGCGAAGTAGGTTGGTATGAGAAAGTTAAACTGATTATTGTTTATATTAGGTTAGATTACATCATTGTGAGATGATAAATACTGCAGATGTAGCTACAGCTATCATAATATATCAGAGAAGCTGAAGTGAAACTGCTTTAGAATCTGATGTTAAAATTGTTCAAATGACGAATTCAAATTTATTTTCTTATATTTATATGTGTGATGATTTCCTACAATTTTTTATCATTATTTTCTTTGTAAAGGAAGCACACTACATGGTTCTAAACACAATCCTACTAGTCCTATTTTCTGTAAACCGCATTTAAACTTTCAATTCTTTAAACATCACAGAACATGTGCTACCCTAAGCAGGACACACGTCAATTAGATTTTCTTAGATTTTAGCTGCTAGATCAACAAAATGAACTAATAGCTATGTAGACACTCACTTTGGTGGTCCAACAGATCAAATCTGAGTGGAAAGCTTTAGCAGAACATTTTTCCCCTTAAAAAATGCATAAAGCAACCTAGTAAAGCAGATCGCTATTTGTGTTATGCTGGGCTCGCACAAGAGATGCATGCATTCATGTGCCTTATTTTGTATTATGAATTTTGATGTGCTGGAAATTACAGCAAATGCATGACTACATCTGGTGTGAACAAGGCCTAATACTGGAGAAGCAGACCTGAAGTGCCAGCTCAAAACTTGCTGATTAGCTGAACAGGAAATGCAAATGACAATCAAGTAACGGATATTAACTAGACATGTAAATTTCGTTTTGTTCCGAATGTATATTCGTACGGATTTCATAAAATTCGGACAGTCGGATGCATCCGAATTTCTGAATTTTAAAGCGTCCGCATGTAAACGAATCCAAATGTTGTTTAACAAAAATTTGGATGCATCCAAATTTCATTTCAAAATTGAAAGAAATAAAAATCCAAATGGATCTGAAACAAAGCAATTTTTTTGCGGAGTTACATGTCTAATATTAACACATAAGCCTCATACCACATTCCCCACCTGAACAGTTCTCCATAGATGTTAAAGATACTGGTCCAAAACCAACCATTTCACGTTTCACTAATCCCAGTTTGAATACTGGTGCATTATTTGCTTTTGCTCAACTATGAGTACCGAGCGATTCAGATGAATGCCTTTACAAATAAGAAATATTGATTTGGAAATAAATAAGGTTTATTGACTTAAAAGGGCCAAGGACCATATATTACAGTTCAGTTTATATAAAAGACTTTTGATAACATTGATGGAGAAATACACAAGGACAGGTGGTATAGCATGGAACAATTTTGCAATATACAGCTGACTTACTGTCCAGTAGTCTCATGTAAACCTCAAATAGTAACTCTGTGAACAAACCGTGTATGAGGTGTAATGGGCTCATTATGAACTTATGTTTTCAATAAATTAAATGTTACCAGATGGTTTGATGTTTTTATAATGTGGATTAACTATTTTTCTAATAAAATGTGTTAATCGGCATTGATTAATGCAGGCTCAACGCAAGGGCACATAGAAAACAATCATATATGCTCACACCATATATGTGAGTTGGTGCATGTCTGCATTTTTATGCAGCACACTGCATATCAGGGCACTGCATCACGTTGCAATGTGCTGTGGTGCATAAAGTTGAATGAAATATCATTCTATTACATTTTTAATAAAGTTAAAAAAAAAGTAAACAGTACAATGTGGTCTAATAACGCATCAAATCTCCCTTGCAACGCATACCAGTATTCATGCATTATAAGAAGCATAATGTGTGCGGCTGGTGCAAACAAACTTTATGAGATAATTGAATAAACATGGTACCTTAAACGCCCTTACTCTTACTTGAAGATGACAAACAAAGCTATATAGCAACACATACACAATAGACCACGCTGCAAAACACACATATGTCCGATATCTTAATTTCTGTGCCGATATGGAATAGTTTACATGTGTCTGGGAATTCAGTGTTTAATGTAACACTCTTTCATAGTAACTATTTAGGTCCTCGGGGTTGCATACTTTAGATGCTTTTCTCCCATTTAAATCTATCAACATTTTTCCTATATTCTGTATTTAGAATTGTGCTTCTACACACTTCACAGACATAAATATTAATAGAGAGCACATCGGACTTACTGAGCTGAAGAGAAAACCTTCGCCATTCATTGCCGCGTAGAGTCCTGCCTTAACTCCTTGTATTGCAACCACCCGGAGACCCACAGGGATTAGATTAAAAAGGGCTGAATCAGAAAAAAAGAAAATATTTAAAGATTTTAATTTCCAGTCATACCATATGCCTAATAGTGCTTCATAAATATATTATATGTTTTGTCTCCACCACTGAGGGAGCTTTTGTAATGGACAGTAGTAGTTGGTGTCCCAGTTGAAAAATAAAAGGGGCTTACTACACATTACTACTATATTTCATGGGTAAGAGCTGTGAAATTCAGCTGTATGGTGGTCCCTGTAGTCCCATGCTCTGTGGCAGCACAATATATGGTGTGCAGTCAGTAGACTTTCTAGCAGATATAAATCAGTGAGGTATAGTTTAGCAGAATGTTTACAGCTGTTGTAGCTCAACCCAATTAAAACTTATCAAATATATATACACATCTAAAGGAAAGTTCTTGTGCTCTTTGACAATCTTCCAAGCAAAGAGCAACAGTATACATTCTCCCTACTAACTAAAAGTAAAAAGCATGAATTCCTTTTCAGTGCTTAGTTACCAGCACTGCTCAAATCTTTCTGGCTATCCAAGGGAGCATATTTCTCCAGGCAAATTTTAACATGGACTGTGTTACCAAACAGCTGGTTATTCACAGAGCTTTTCAGCATTTTCAGTATTATGCAACTCCAGCCCTAAAGGAGAGGTAATGGGAGAGTAAAAGGTACTCTTCTGAATACTTTGAGCTGGTGGTGTGACACTGCAGATGCCACATGTCGGCTCTATAGATCGAGAGCTGAGCGATCACAAACTGCTCACCACTAAGCTCACACTCTTCGCCATCAAGAGGGAGGTGACAATCAGCCACTGCTCCCCACAGGGATTCCCCCCTTCCCTCTTTCTATTCCTCCAGCATTCATTGGAGGGACAGACAGGGGAGGTGGTGGGCACAGCTGGCTCTGGCATTAGAGAGGCAGAGCCAGCTGTCAATCAGGCAGCGAGTTGTATCCAGACAATATTGTCGGGATCCTTCCTGGCTACAGTGCAGCTCTGCCAGCATATAGCAGGACTCCTGTTACCCAAAAAAGAACTAAAGCTAAAAAAAAGTATTTAGTTCTCTTTTAAACTTTATATAAAGTTTTACATTGCTTTCTTCCATGTTGTGAACACATAAGTTACAGGACTACTTTTTGCTATAACATGAGAAAAATATATTTTAAAATCCTCTGCATATTTGTTTCTGACCAGTGCTTATAATAAAAGGTATTCTCTTGCTGAACATAGCTGCTTTTGTCTATTGCAAGAAGTCCATCTCTATACATACAGAAGGTCTGTGTTGGTGTAGAAACAGACATACAATATTGTGGCTCTAACATACTGCAGTGAACAGCTGTTTTATCAGTCATTTGTTTCTGATGCTAAGTCAAATGAAGTCCCTGATAGGAAACTCAACAGGCATTAAGCATGATTTATAATTGGAATGAAAAGGGTGATTTTCCTTACTGTAGTCGCTGTTTTCGTCCTTGGTCCCATCAATGGTGCCATCTGGGTGCATCTGCAGGAAGTATCCCTGCTGGCTGAATAACCTTGTCACAATTCCTTTCAGCTGGGGTTCTGTAAAAAAAAATACCATCAATACAACACATAGAACTGTGCTCAGTGATTGTACATAGGAGAGAATGCTTAGTCACCAGGATAGAAAGTGAATAAGCTAATTATGCCTGGCTAGATCACCTGCCTCCAGATCTTTCCAGCTGTGATTCTATGACATGCAATTGTATTAGGAGGGAAGATGCTCCAACAACTTAATCCAAAGGAATGAAAACAGATAAACAGCACTTCCCGTCTCTGGCAACGTCATTAACTTATCCAAATTAAATTCTTTCTATTGTGTTCCAAATATACTGGGAAATGATACAATAGTATTTTTTTTAAAAACACAAACTAAAATCAAGTCTACTGTTAATCTGTATCACAAAGCAATAATGCTCCATAATCTGTTACCTTAAAGGTGATTTCCATTATAAATAAATAAACTTTCAGACACAGTCCCTCTCTACTAGAATGACTAATGTATAACACTAAATACAGTTTAGACAGGTCACCCGTGTTACTCAAAGTGACAGACAGGATTTCTGTTTAATCTGGAAACCACCTATAAGGTTTATATAATTTGTTACGTATTTTACGTACATTTTTACCCCCAAAAATCTGCTAATTAAAATTATATCACATTAGTGTGACTTTTAAGTAATGTAGTAGAATGGTAAAGCTCAAAATGAACATATGTGTTTTATTTTAGATGTTTATTTCCCTTTCTACACCATTTTGCGATGCAGACAGGGGAAAAAAACAATGCGCGTAACATTAAGGTAAGTTTATATCAGTTTGACAAGGGCACAAATGAACACAGCGGCGACTTTATCACAGGTTTGTGATCGCTAACATTTGATGCTGGCACGGTGAACAAAAATATAATCTAGATCGGGGTACTGAACTAAAAGTCAACGAGGTTAGTGAGTAAAATTTTCATAGGTCCGAATCACGGTCCAGACAGAATGGTCAATCAATCCGTGTCTGTACCTCAGTCTGCAATTTAGGCTGTATTCACACTAGCATCTGCACTACAACGGACAGCTGCTGGTTTGTGTTCCCAAGCACAGTGCAGATGCACCCATCCTGGCACATCGCACTGTTTACTTTTTTATTTTTTTTGTTAGAACTTTATTGAAATGTCATGAGTGATAGTTCATTAAGTTCTATGGGAACAGCAAGGTGCAATGCAGTTGTGGCCTGCATGCAGTACTTTTTTTTCAGCACACGCATCCGCAACGGGGTGGTGTGAACTGAGCCTATTGGGAACAAGGCAAATTGCCTTTTCTAGCATTGAGGGTGCACTGGAAGCTTTAAGGGAAACTCTGATTGAGGCAACTAATAATTAGTTGTCCCTATAAGAGCACCCCCTTACATTGGTTTTCCCCATCAGAGTCTCCACTTACATTGGTTGCCCCCATCAGAGTGCCCCCTTACCTTTGTAACTAATGTAAAGGGGAACTCTGATGGGGACAGCCAATGTAAGGGAACACTCTTATGGGAACAACCAGTGTAAGGAGACATCCTGATAAGGACAATTAATTAGTTGTCCCCATCAGAGTGTCCCCTTACATTGATTGTCCCCTTTAATGTGCCCCTTTATATTGCCCCCTTTACATTGTTCCACATACCTACTTTAATTTGTAGGCCAGGGGTGGGAGAAGGAACAGGCTGCAAAACTGTAAAACTGGGGGTGGGAACACATTCAACATCACTGGTTTCTAGGAGCGCTGGCAGTCCTAACAAACAACCAACAACTGCAGAGGAGGTGGACACCTGACGTCGGTGCCACGAGTACAAATCATGGGGCCCTGTACAGCCTACCTGACAAGGTCCCCGCCCCCCCCCGCACATACAATTTCAAATTCTCCTCTTTGCCTCCCCCCACAGAGACCCTCCAGTGCCTGGGTGACTACACAGTGTGGGTGGTGTAGGTGCACAGTGTGAGTGGTGTGGGTGCACAGTGTGAGTGGTGTGGGTGCGAAGTGTGGGTGCACAGTGTGAACGGTGTGGGTGCACCTAGTGGGTGATGTGGATGAATTAACTACTGCGGGCATTCATATGCAAATCACACAGCAGTTCATGAATATGCAAATCTCGAGTGAAGCACATATTCAGGCAGTCCCTGTCGACCGGGGCCTCTGCAAACCTGTTGGAGCCTGGGCCTGGTACAGGAGGGCTGCCTGTACCCACCTATCTGCAGCCCTGTCTGCCGTCATTGGTTGCTAGGGCACCAGCGGTCCCAGCAACCACTGACTGAAGCGGAGGAGGGGCCTGTGTTGGGTTATGGCTGGCAGTTGTTTCCTGGATTCAGAAGCTGAAGTATTCACTGTCAGCCAGCCATAACCCAGCACAGGTCAGCAACCATGGATTAGACAAAACCGCCACTCAGTCCATGTCCGGACCGCGGTCTGCCATTTAGGGACACCTGATCTAGATCATCCAATAGAATTGATAAAACCTGGAGATTAATCTGGGAAGGAAATATTTGTATTCATTTTTCCAATATATACATTACATGGAGGGACAGCTTTGTCCCCGCCTCCATGTTTAGTGGAAGTGCTGTGACATCACTTTTGATGTCAACATACTGCTGATGTAGACAGTAGAAGCACTTGATTGTTTGAACTCCTGGGCTTAGCACCGGGTTCCACCTGTCAGATAGCTGGTTCCTCCAGAAGCCACTGAGAATGGCCATCATCTTAAAATGGCCCTGTGACAAATAATCTCTATCATAGCACTGTTTTAAACTGCAAGCAGTGCAAGTACCGGGATTTGATCTGGCATCAGCTTTTTGCAGTACACTGCACAGTATGCACAGTAGAGCAATCGGGTGTGCTGCATTACATGCATATATGAGGAGAGTAGAGTGACAGAAATGAGCTGATCTGTGTGCAGCTCATTGTTCAGTTAGGGGGTATGGGTTGGGAGGAAATATGTAAGCAAAGGTGAAACTGCAGCAGAGAAAGATTAGGTCCCTTTCCCTGCTAGATAGGGCTGTGCTATATTACAAAACTGTGTACATCTCAGAAATGGATAGACAAAGTTAAAGAAAGCAGCTCTCATGTATGTTGTTAGCTAATTATCTGGAGTTCATCTTTACAATTAGGCCTTATGAACACTACGTACCAAAACGTTGAGTTCAGGTGCATTTGGAGTTCATTTCGAAACGCACCTGGCCTCATGTAATGCATTTCTATGATTAAATGCACACCTAGGAGTCCAGCAGCAACTAGGTGCCTTCAGTCTAGATCAGTCTACCCAAAATAGAAATTTCTGCAATCTGGGTCCGACAAGCCCAGTTTTATGCGGCTAAATGTATATAAACGCGCATAAACACGTGTAAATGTATATAAACGTGACTAAGCCAAGCACAGAAAAAATTGATCTGGGAAGCATAAAGTTGCTTATATAACTTCTGTTGGGATTAAATGCAGCCTGCTAGTGTGCATGAGGCCTTAAATAACAACCCCATAAAAAGCCATGAAATGGCACCCAGCTAAATACCGCTGTCTCTTCTCAATGTAAATGACAAGCTTTTATAAGCTCTAAGTTATTGTACTGTATTATACTGTATTTCTGTAAAAAAGGTGATTGAGCTTCTGAAGTGCCTGCACCTACAACAGTAAGTAGTGATTAATAAACACAACCTAAAATAACATTATCCTTCTTATTGCTATTTCAGTGTGCAAACTTGTATATGTCATGAATGCTTCCATCAGGTTAAGCAGTGGCTTGCATCATGCAGTGGAAATTAAGTTGCCATTTCCTGACTAACTTTACTGTGAAACTGATTGCTATAACATCATAACATTTTACCGAGTAAAACTTATTCCACATTCACACATACCTAAGCATTCGATGCACAGGCAAATTAACTAATACGGTCTGAAAATAAAACAAATTATGCCCATGTGTGCATCTCTAAAAAAGAAGGTCTACCCATGGTGTGCATCTTTAAAAGAGCTACCATTAGCTAGTATTTGAGTTGTACTGTATATATTCACCAGCTTGCTTCTTGCAGTCTTCAATATAAAGATTGCCTCCCAGTAGTTTTCATTTCACTCCTCCTCCAGAAGGTGATACTAAGACATTTGAACTAATATGTTTTTATACGTTAACGCCATAAAAACTGCCTGCTGAATAGTTTTTTGTTTTTTTTATCCAGACATTGCTGTAGTGCGCCAGTCCCAGGGACGTGTGGTCAGTGGAGGTAGGTGAGGCAGAGCCTCACATAGTATCATGGAGAAAAAAGCTGTCAGCTTCCAGTCTGAAGCTGACAGCTTTTTCTCCATTCAGATCGGCTTCTAGCAGGTTACACGGCAGGGAAAGCCTCCCCGCTGTGTAACCTGCCATGGACTGATCGGTGCCTGTTAATTACAGGCAGCGCTGCATCCAGCATTTGAGAGCGGGCTTCCCCACTGCTTGTGTAACCTAACTAGTGAGGCAAGAGCTGTCACAGATTCTACTCTTTGTTAGAGGCGTGAGCTCTGTGGATGGCTTGGATCAATGGCAAAGCACCATTGGTCCAAGCTGTCCAATCAAAAAAAGAAGAAAAAACACCCACTGAGGCCATCGATCTCGATGCCTCAGCAGTGATGACCAAGTAAGGGACAGGGAGGCTCCTCCCTGTCTCCTCCCTCCTTCACACTAGCTTGGGGACTGGGTTGGGGGTGGTGCTTCGGGGGGCGGGGCGTGCTGGGTGCGAGGCTGGGGAATGCCTCACCCGGAACCAAAGGTACCAAACGTCACTGACCAGCCCATCCCACTCCCTTTTAGTAGACTGGTGATTCTGAAACACACATGCTAGGACACGTGGTTCCTCACATACAGCAAACCTGATGTAAAAAAATGTGAGCGTCATAAAGCTTCTCATAGCCACCAATCAAGTTCAAACCTGCCTTGAAAGTTTCAATTGTGATTAGTGATGCAGGAATCACATGATGAAGAAGCTACTGAGCACAGGTTTCACAATTTACCCTTCTACTAACCCTCTATGGAAATCTATGGAAATCTGATGGCATTA